TTAGTCTTCTGCCTCTGAGGTTAGATGTTCTTTTACCCTTCTCACTGACATCACCACAGCATTCTGTTCTACGATAAATGACAGTATCTGTACACTTGATATCTCGCAATGTTTTGGGCGGACACAGCTATCCTCCCCACCCCCACCCCTAGCAGTCAGACACTATTGACAATTCAATTTCCGGTCTTAACAGGACACGTTTGCGTGACTAGTTGCTTTTGCCGGAATGGGTCTCGCTGATAACTCTCCTCACTCTCCTTCCACGTTCTGTCAAAAGACAGACATGATGAAGTATGATTTAATTCTCTCCCCCCACCCCTTCATACGCACCAGCATCCCCATTCCTCTGCATCCACTGTAGGTCTTATACGCGTCTGTCAAATGTGTCAGATTTCGCACAAAGTGTTATTGTGCACGAGCAAGCCTGAGGTTTGCTTTTTTGAAATCTGACCTTTTACTCACCATCTAACAAAGCTATCCTGACACTCATCTCCTCTCTGCCAAATTCGTGTGTACTGCGTTCACCGGACAAAATTTATTTTGAGTCTGTCGTCCCCAGGATTAATTTCGGTAACTCATATTCAAACGTCAGACCCAACTTGAACCTTTCCCGATAAACGCTATCTGGAAATCATATTTCCACGGCTATTCTCGTCCGTAATTATTTGCGTGCTACTTTCCGTTTTTGTCAACGGTCGTGACTGCTTGTCAACCACAATACACAATACACAACCACAATACTCACTTTAGTCCTCGGATGTCGTCATCGACTTCCTGAATAAATACCGTTTCGTGGTCAAATCGGAAGCTGTTGAGCATTAACCAGCGTCTAACTGGAAGCTTGCCCTTACAATTATCACAAAACGGAATGATTTTAGGCCTCACGTATTAACCAGTCGCCTAGTGGTCTAACTCATTTCTCTTCAGCCCTAAAAATTGCCTGTCCGATTGACAGGCGCACTACGTTGTCCGTAATTTCGAAGAGGCAGCATAATCCTATACAGTGATGTAGGTGTGGATTTTTTCGCATTTGCCACAATGTAATTGTCTCAATCATCAACCTCCCCAGCAACTGTTTCTCTTAGCGACTGCCTTCAGGCAAAGGTATTCCTCCTGAAAATGCTTGTACCTCAAAATATTTCGATAGACCAAATTTGGTTAAATATGCACGCTCTCTTCGATGTAATATACTTTAGGTGCTTAAACTCACCAAACGTTAACTAGAATGTTAAAATGTACTTTCGGGCATTTTTTGGTCTACTAAAAGACCACGTAGAGAGGGTAGTAACTTTATGCCCTTACACCAAGATGGGCACAAACTATAGCGTCTTACAACCACACTTTCATTGCCTCTGTTTGCATATTCGCCCAGGCACAAGCCAAACAGCGCGCTGGACGCGCAGGTCGTACGGGCCCCGGAAAATGTTATCGTCTCTATACCGAAAGAGCCAATCGCGACGAGATGCTCGCCACCAACGTGCCGGAGATTCAACGAACAAATTTGGCCAGTACAGTGCTCCAGCTAAAGGCCATGGGCATTAACGACCTTCTCTCCTTCGACTTTATGGACCCACCTCCACTGCAGGTAAGTCTTCTTTCTAACTGTTATACTGGTGACTTTAGTGGTGTCACCCCGTCTTATTACGCCCGTTGGGATCCCCACGGAAGAACACAATAAGAAGGGCGTAACTTTGGAATCCACCCAGAGGAGGGTT